CATTTTTCATTTTTGCACAATGTATGCTTTTTCATCTTGGTTATATTCCCCCACACAATTCCCTCACCCCCTATTTTTGACTCTAATCCCTCCTCCTTTCCCCCACCCCATAGTGTGTCTCTGGTTTATAGTTGCTTGTTTTGATTTTTACTTTATTATAATTAGTCTTTTTCCTGGTCCTTTATTTAAGTTTTCTAAATTCCTGCTATGAGTGAGGCCATCCGGTATTTTTCTTTTCCTTTATGGCTTATTTTGCTGAGTATGATCCCTACTACATCCAAAAGATCCCTACTACCTCACACCATGCACAAAAACAACTCAAAATGGATTAAAGAACTAGACATAAGACCTGAAACCATAAAATATATAGAAGGAGATAGAGGCGTAACACTACATGTCATACACCTCTTTTATTTTTTAAGATTTATTTATTTATGCACGAACTGGGGTATAGGCCAGAGGCACGGGAGGGTGAGAGAATTCACCAGAGACAGAGGAGGAAGCAGAACAGGCATATGAACTGAAAACACTGCTGAGGGGAGCAGTGGGCAAGACAGGAGAGGTCTGCTGTGCCATGTGGGTATCTCCGTGACCAGCGGGGATCGAACTCGTGCTGCAGAGACTGCAGACAGCTTCACAGTGTTGCGCTCAACCTCCTGCGCCACCAGGGAGGCCCTCCCTCTTTTTAAATCTGAGGTGTTATGTTCAATCATAAATTCTACAGTAATGTTGGTCCTAAATGGCGAGGTGAAATGTGGGAGTCATTGTAGATTCATGAGAAAGAAAATGATATGAAGAGTGGCTGTCAATTCCAGTTTCCATACCCTTCCTCCCTGCAATGCAAGGATCTCTTTCTCTAACGGGAATAGACTGAAATAGCTGCCTGCGTCTATGAGGCCTCCTGGGCACAGATTGCAAGTAAGTGCCACAGGGCTTCCCAGAGCTTGCTCTTCTTTCTTTCCTCCCTGTATTCCTCACTCTATTTTTGTTTTTTCTTCTCAGATTACTGCTCCTTGTTCAACCTCCCCTCACTGGGACTCCCCACTCTCCACCCCTCCCTTTTCAAGAGCAAGAATACAACAAGTGATAAAGAGCTTGGGGCTATTAAGAGTAAACTGATCCCTCCTGTGAGCAAGGCTACCTCTGTCTCTGCTTTAATTACTCCAGGCTCCTTGGGGTGAGCAGCACATTCTTGAAAGGTCACATCATCCCACTTCCCTAGCTTTCTGCCTTCAGAGTAACAGGGCAGCATTTTGCCTACCTTACAAGATATTCATAAGGAGTGCAGCGGCTCTTTATCATGAATAGCTGCATCCCAGGATGAAAAAAAAATTACTTTCCCAAGGTCACTATAGCATTGAGCTTATTTTTCACTGAGAAAAACGTGGCAAATTCATTCTCCGTTTTGAACCACAACCAAAACACCCCAAGTTCTAGATCAACATTGTTCTCTCCACAAGACATTTTTTAAAACATCTTAAACACTGAATAAAGTAAATTTAACATGAAGTGTAAGGAGATTAACTCAACTCCTGCTGTTCAACTAATGAACATTCCAAGCCAGATCAATCTTTTACCATTTTTAAGGGTTAAAGCTGAAATTAAATAAGCAACATTTTGGGAGGCAGAAGTTAGAGCAAATACTTATGCATGTAAAAAAAAGTATTAGTTTCCTTTTTAAAACTGGATTAATTGCACAATGTCTTACTTAAACACTCAAGCTTTTATACTGTAAATATATTGATAAATTTGGTGTGATGTGAAACCTTATTTTTTTTTGCCCACCATAAATAATTTTTTAAAACCTTGTAATATCAAAAAATGTCAACTTTCAGAGTTGAAATGCAGCACATATTTCAACAATTATTTTAATAAAGTATTTTAAATTCCAAAGCATTGACTAAAATCTGAGACGTGACTTGTGAGATGTATGTCTCAGAAAAATTATGCAAGAAGAGACCTCCCTGGTGGTGCCAGGGGTTAAGACGCAACCTTTAAAGCTATCCGCAGCCACTGCAGCACAAGTTCGATCCCTGGCCAGAGAGCTACCCACAGACCTCTCTTGACTTGCCCGCTGCTCCTCAGCAGTGTATTTCAGTCAGTCTGCCTGTTCTGTTCCCTACTCTGTCTCTGGTGAATCCTCTCACCCTCCTGCACCTCTGGCCTGTACTCCAGCTCTTGTTTGCATAAATAAATTTTTAAAAAAATTTAGGGGCCTCCCCTGGTGGCGCAGCGGGTTGAGCACAGCGCTGTGAGGCTGTCCACAGCCTCTACAGCGTAGGTTCGATTCCCAGGCAGCCAGGGAGATACCCACATGGCGTGGCGACCTCTCCTGTCTTGCCCACTTCTCCCCTCAGCAGTGTTTTCGGTCCGTATGCCTGTTCTGCTCCCCACTCTGTCTCTGGTGAATCCTCTCACCCTCCCGCACATCTGGCCTATACCCCAGTTCTTGTATAAATAAATAAATCTTTAAAAAAATAAAAATAGGGAGAGGAAAACAAAGGTTTTTATATAAGTTAATTAATGCCTTCAAAATCCTTAGATATAGAACTTGTAACAGGGTGGTCCTGAGGAAAGGGGGAGGTTCCCTGCCCCACCCAAGGGAGGTTCCCTGCCCCACCCAAGGGAGGGTGGAGCTGAGCAGGAAGAGGAGAAGCTGCAGAAGAGACTGAGGAAGGAAGGAGCAGGATGGAGCCAGGAGACCTGGAGGAGGCGCATGGAGCCTAGAGACACGTGAAGAAACAGCTTGTCTTTTTGGTCGTGGACTGGGTGACACAGATGTGGGTGAGACCCGTGGGGAGATGACAATGGTAGCTTTTATCTTGATGTTGATTTTGCTCTTTTCCTTCCGGGCTTGTCTGGTTGTTTCTGACCCTTTTCTGGGGGTCCCCACTGGAAGATGCTTTAGACTTGTGGCAGGCTTTGGGGCCTTGTTCTGGGCCAATCCCATTTGGATGGACTTTTACCCACGAGGGGATGGGTAACTTTGGGTGCTTGATTTAGAAACTAGATTCTTTGCCTTTCCTGTATTGTTTCCAAATTGTATTAAAGTTCCTTCCCATTAAAGTCTCATATGTTTTGTGTTGATGCGGCGGATGGCAGAACCCATTTAGAACAGGCAGGTTTGCGGGGTTTGGGCTACCCCTCTCCCTGCCCTATAACAAACTGACCTATGATCTGACCTATGATCAGATATAGAACCTATATATGATCAGATAAATCTGACTTATCCTTAGATACAGAACTGACCTATGACCTATACTGACCTATGATCCATTAAGTCACCTAAGTATATTTTTTTCTATCTTACTAATACATATTTCCTCAACCCACTAATTTTAAGTTTTGTTTTTTCTTCAAATGCTCCATGTCATGTGTATCCTTATTATTTTATCTCATTTTATTGGGTGTGTATTCAAACCCACTCTAATATTTATTGAGTACCTACTCTAAACTTGGGATTTCTGGCACTGGAGAGAGAGGAAAACAACAGGGCTAGTTCTTGTTCTTGAATACCTTTCTACCATGTTGGAGAACTGAAAAATATTGGAAGGCATGTGTCTGAATCATTGTTCAAATGACTGACAGGGACCTTTCGTGGGGCAGCAGGAATCCCAAAGAATGTTTCTGTTGTTGTTGTTTTTCTGTTTTTTTTTTTTTTTTTTTTTTTTTAGTAAAAGGAGACTACAAAGTGATTTTTCTAAGGGATGTCTTCTTAGAACATAGTTGGCTTTTTTTAATAAAATGAATGCTAGCTAGCTGAGGAGAAAATCAGATATAGACTATAAGTGGAACCTAAGTTGTTTAGTTTAGATACCAAGTTTTTCTCCCAATAGAACCTAGATTAACAGGTTTTCACATTTTTTTAGTGGACTTAAATCGTGCTTAAAATAGGTTTTATGTGTTTAAGACAGTTTATGTTAGCTCTTGCTGAAATGGGAGAGAGATGAATTCCATGACCTTTCATGGTCTGCTCATATTCATATTTTCTCTCTGTCTTTCTCTCTGTTTCTCTATCTCCCGCTCTCTCTCTCTCTCTCTCTTTTTCTTCCTTCCACTCCTCCCTCCCTCCTTCTATTCCTCCCTTCCTCCCTCAATCCCTCCCATCCCCCCAATTGTTATACCTTTTGGGGTGTAACACTAGGCTTCCAGGGCATTCCTTTCAGTGAAATAAGAAAGGAGACACTTCTGTGTCTTGAAATTTTTTTATTTGTTTCTATATTCAGCCATAAACACACATTCCTCCTAAGACTATAAAAGTCTTCTCCTCTAAACAATTAACTTTTTGTTTTTTAAAAAAATAATAACAGCAACTTGAAACTTCACTTGCAACCTATCATTTCAACCATTTGTGTAAAGAAAATAAGTTCAGGTTATGCGTAGCTACCTCTGCATTTGTTACTGATATGAGTACATAGACTGTACTTGGCCTGGTAAACAGTTCTAAAAGCTCTCTAAGCCTTTAAATTCAGTTTCACTTCAAAAATAAAATGTCATTATCACTCATATTTTCCAGGGCTGGAACCATTTCTTTTAATCCTCTTACTGCTTCCCCATTCTCCTTATTTTAGGACATAGTACACAGTAAGGACCTGCTGTGGGTCCATTCAGCACAATCTTCCTCATTCTCTGTCCAGGACCCAGGTGATCATGAAAATAAAACAAACTAAGACACAATTAGCACAAGGAAGCCTCTTCTTAGCCCTGCTACCAGTTTCAGATCACATCCTTTCTTGTCTTTTATTCTCAAGCCAGTCATGTAGTTGTTCTTATTATGGCAAGGTCTATGTCAGTGCTGATGCATACATTCAATAGTATTCCTTCATTCAGTAAGCACAAAAATTTAAACCTCCCTATTTTGGGTTAGTGATATAAACCTCCATTTCCAATATTCTCAAATGTCTTTAACCCAACTACATCTTTCCTGAATAATGGGTGTAGTCCTAGGGCCAGATATTAAAACTTGATTTGTTGAGATCATTGACTAAAAGGAATTCTAGTCCAAGACAAAAATCACTTGCACTTCTCAGGAGGGGATCCTGTTCCTTCCTTGCTAAGCAAGGGCATGGTCAAACTGCCCTTTCTCCAGACCTTCAAGTCCATCAGCCCAGGTCGAGGTCGGCATGCTCCTATATGGGTCTAGAAGAATCCGGAAGCACCTGACAATGAGGATGCCCAAGAAAATAAACAACAAAATCACAAAAACAAATGTGGTTTTCTGCTCCAGGGACATGCTAGAGTCTGTTGATGTATTCCCAAAGGGCGCTAGAGATGAAGGGGCAGGTTGTCCTCCATCCATCGTCCAGTGAAGCCAGAACACAGGATCTCCCAATTTTCTTTTCTTCCATCATCAGCCTGCTGAAGTCATGATGGCTGCACCTTGGAGAGGATGAATGATCTGCTGGAGAAAGAAGGGGAAGGAAAGGGAATAACCATCAAATAACAGCCTTATTTTCTGGGCTAACAGTCATGTCTTTCAGAGAGAAGAGGATCTCTAAACTTTTCATCACAGATGCTTAATTCTGTTTAATTACAGGAAAGAGTCTTTTACTCTTGCATGAAATGACCAGATTGTCCTCAGAGCAACAACCGGGGGCCAGGAAGGCGGGGTAGAGAATGCTACCAGAGTACAGATGAAAAGCATGAAGGTAACATTGACCTCAGGGTGTGTAGCCAACTTGACATCCAAATATAGTCTCTTCCTGCCAAGTCTCTTCTAGCTTTCCTCCAACAATATTACTCGCACATCATTCTTATAATGATGCTATTAAATGAACACCAGCCAGAACTGTGACTAAAGATACTCCAACAGTCACTCTATTACAAGCTCCATGCAAGCAAGGACCTCTGCAACCCCAGCACAAGGAAACTAAGGGTAAAAAAAGTATTTGATATGGAAACTTTCTTGGGGAGCATTGAGCTCTAGACTCTAGACTATGGCCTCCACTTTACCGCTAAATAAGTATGGGTCTTTGGAGACATGACTAAACTATGAATGAAAATAGTAATGTCTACATGTCTCAAGGTGCTCTAATGAATAGGAATGTCTGTGAGAACTTTTGAAAAGTATACAAAGAAGAATGATAAAGTATTGCTTTACTCAAGACATGACTAAGGGAATGCTTCTCCTTTGCTTTCTCTTTCCTGGGCTAAGGGAGAAGGCGGGTGGCTCACTGCGAACCATCAAGCTACTGCTGCTGCTTCTTTTTTCTTCAGAAAACAATGACAGGATTCAATATTTGACCCTGGGAAGCATCTAGAGGATGGAGCTAGGGAAAAGGAAATGATTGACTTCATTTTTATTTAATTTTTGACTGCATTTTTCAAAAAGCCTTTTCGAAAGGCTTTCTACTATGTAAGACCATTTGGTAAAGAGGAAAGAAGGAAAAAGCTGCATAATCACCATTTCCATTTTACTGGTAGAAAAACTGAGGTGTATAAATATTGTTTACCTTTTAAGGTATAAAAGTATACACCAAGCCTATTAAAAGCTTCAGATATTGAACTAAATCTATTTAAACCAGATTTTGTAAAGAAAAGTTTCTGTATTAGACATTATATATATAAACATCATGACATTTTTATGAATTTGCAAGAAAAATTATAGAGCATTCAGCTATAGAAATTAACATGGATTGAAAAGAAATTGTGTTCAATGAAAAAAGCAGCCAAACAAAAATAGAGATTATGATCTGAAGCATTAACATACTGTTTCTTTAGTTGACTTCTAATTATTGCCTTGAAGTGCAGCACTAGTAATCATGAAAAGTTTGCATGTATGTTGATACTTCAAAGTTTATAAAATCACAGTTTAAAAAAAACAGCTTCTAGGGCCTCTCTAGTGGCGCAGGCAGTTGAGCGCGGCACCTTGAAGCTATCCGCAGCCTCTGCAGCGCAGGTTCGATCCCGGCCGGCCAGCGAGAATCCCACATGGCGAAGCTGACCTCTCCTGTCTGTCCCGCTGCTCCCCTTAGCAGTGTATTTCATCAGTCTGCCTATTCTGTTCCCCTCTCTGTCTCTGGTGAATCCTCTCACCCTCCCATGCCTCTTGCCTATACGCTGGTTCTTGCACAAAAATAAATAAATGTTAAAAAAAAAAAACAAAACAGCTTCTAAAGAGTATTGCAACCAGTATCTGGGAGGGAGGAGTCACCAATTTGGGGAGAATGGATCCCTTGAATACTTCATGACTCTTCAATTTTTTTTTTAAAAAGCTGAAATAATGCAACAGATTCATTTATAATTCATTTTTATTTTGAAGTAAGATTGGGATAAAGTTTGTATTTTTAAAAACTAAGGTTAGGAATATACAAGACATTAGTGAAGTGGGTTTAGTTTTGTCTTGCTTGTGTTTCAGTAGCCTCTGAGCTTAGGGTGTTGATGCTCCACAGTGGGTAACTGGGACCGAGGAGCAGAAAGAGGGGAAGGAAAGAGTGACCAGAACTTTTAACAGCACTCCTTACCTCTAGGGCCTTCCAACTGGGTCCATCTGTACCCACCCAGAATACCCAAACTGGATTAAATGATAGAAACTTCTCCAAGAGCTGGGTCTAATGAAAGCCATGTTGTGATTGAGGAACACATCCCTAAGTCATTCTGCCACGTTCCTGCTTGTATTTCCATGTCCTAATAAGGATCCCCACTCAGCCCCTGTCATTATAGCTGGTTTAATTGGAATCCCCATTCTTTATCCATTTTGTCTCCAGCCAGAAAGATGTCAGAGTTCTTTGTCTATTTTCACACAACTGAGACAAATATGTATTTTCAGAAACTTTTTTTTTTTAACTGTTTTTTTTTTTTTTTTTTTATAGAGGCATGGTTTTTATTTATTTATTTATTTATTTGTTTGTTTGTTTTGTTTATACATGCACTGGGTACAGTCAGAAGCGCGGGAGGGTGAGAGAATTCACCAGAGCCAGAGCGGGAAGCAGAGCAGGCAGAAGGACCGAAGTACACTGCTGAGGGGAGCAGCGGGCGGCAGGAGAGGTCTGCGCGCCATGTGGGACCCTCGCTGGTGGCCGGGGAGCAGCCGGGGATCGAACCGGCGCCGCCGCCGAGGCCGCGGGCAGCTTCGCAACCCAGCGCTCAACCGCTGCGCCACCGGGGAGGCCCCTTCAGAAACTTTTTAATGAAAATATTACATAATCCATGAAGACAAGGAAATATAAGAAAAGATAACATCACTACCTGTGTAAATATACAACATAAAGATTTCTAGTCTAGTTTAGTTTAATAAGAAAAATTAAGAACTAGACATAGAATCATTTGTGCCTGTGAGAATATCCCTCCAGCCATAAGCTGACTGACTTGTTCTGTCCCTTCCTTACCACTTCTGGTCTCTACTTGATGGGAATCATCTTGATACCCAGGAAGCAGTCTTTTCCCACCTTTTCCTTCATACAAGGCAGAATGCCATGTTCTCTTCTCATACTTCCTACGTTTTTCCTATGACTCAGGTGTTAGAGCAGATACACCATTCATTTGGGGGTTGGAGTGATGGGCACCCATTCCAGAGAGTCCCGGAAAATAACCTTGTCATTCTGATTCAGATGATCAGCCTCATCTTCCCATTCAGTTTCCCTATAAGTGACTTTGGGATCTGGCTTCTCCACACAGAAGTCAGGTATTGCATTGATTTAAAAATCAGTTTTAGTTTGCAGTTTTAGCCCCCCTAAGCTGATTAAAAGGCAAGATGTAGGGATATGGTTAACCCTCTTTGCAGCCTGATTACATGTTTTGAAGAACTTTCTAAAATGTAAATATGTATTCTCTAACCTTCATTGCCAACCCCTTCCAGATACCAAACTGATGAAAAAATAGAAATCAAAGCTTTTTTGAAAACTCTGTAGCTCTTTGTAAATTGTAAGCCTGCTCCCTTTGTGCATACCAGACTGCCTAACTTCCTATTAAAATAACTTCTTTTTTTGTCAAATCATCAAAGGCTCCTATTAAATTACAATATTTTACATAGTAAAGTGACACATGAATACATTTGTAAGAATTTGTCTCTGAAAACTGTTCCCACTTTGAAGAAGGGAGAGAAAGGACTGGAGGATGATCTTGCTGGAGGTGAGGGGCTGTTAGGACTTTGGGGATTGGAGACAAGGGGTATCATTAGCAGATGGTCCAGCAGGAGAGTCCTGGGGAGGGATGGAGGATGGTGAGAGAGATAAGAAGGTCAGGAGGTGATCCAGAAACAAATGCCAAGTATTTCACAGTTTTGCCTAGGATTGACTGAAATCCCTGGAAGAGCCTGCTTGATTTTAAACCTCACAATCAGCTAATCAATAATTTACAAATTTGGAAAGCTCAACATCATGCTTAAATTAAAGGAAGCATCAGATATAAATAAGGTGCAGGAAAAAAGAAATACTTTTAATCACTTGACCACCACAATACAAAAATATTCAAAGGCTTCTAAAATTTAAAAATATCTGTTAAAGCAAAATGTCCCTTTTTGCTAAAAAAAAAAAAAAAAAGATACTTAGAAGATATTCATCATTGCTTTTAGATGAACAATGAAATCTTTTTTTCAGATAAGTACTGAAATCTGGACAAGAAAATTACTTCAAAAGATTTTGACATAACCATCCTCATCCTAATTGTTAATGGTAATAAAACATAGTTGGTTTAAGTATGAAGGTGAACCGTAGCTACTCACAGCAATATTTTAATCCTGACCAGCTTCCCCCATAGCAGCACATCCATGTCTTCCCTTTGCCAGATCTATTTGTATGTGCTCAGGAAATAAAATCTAATGTGAATATTGGATTAAGGAAATCTTAATAAAAAGATGAAATGACATTTTCTAAAAATCATATAGTACATTCCTTTTTTTCAGGTCAGTCTCTCCAGACTCTGTGATGATCACAAAGTATCAAACCCTCTGTCATGGAAAGCCCATATGAGCATTTTTAGCCATAGTCCTTCTCACTATTAACCACCGATTCAGTAATGGTAATTTGCCAGAGGCCCTCTCTTCCTCTCCCTATACTTCTGACATTCTGCATTTTAATTCATCTTTCTAAGCTCAGATCTCACAGAAAACCTTCGTACTCAGGTGTCCAAGACCTTCTCCCATCTATTAACCTCCATAGGGACCTTATATCCTTATATCTGGACCATAAATCAGGGCATATGCTAATAATGGAATTTTTCTAATATATTAACTTATTTTCATAAGTTTAAAAAGGAAAAAAGCATCAAATCTCACTTCATTTCAAGCAAAATGGTCAACATATTAATAAGAACAAATGTACATGTAACTGAATCTGAGACCCCTGAGGAGAATGCCCTCCCTTTGCTGTCCAACTCC